ACCTTGGTGAAGGCCACATACCGCTTGTTGAGACCGAAGGTGAACATAAAAGAAACAGTGAAAGCTCGGTGGAGGTCTCACCTGAATGTAGGAACGGATGCAATCCGCCCCATCCGATGGTTCACCGCCACAAGTTCTAGGCCAGCAAAGATGGCCTTGCTGCAGTGGCAGATCGAACACCGCTGCCTGCCCATTAATAATTGGCTGATAGAGCGCACGCAGCTGGAACAGAAGGGACAGGCACTGCCGTGGTGCAAATCGTGCCACACTGCGTTCCCTTCCCGCAGAATCCCGGAAACTATAGAACACATTTTCATGTAGTGCCCAAGGGCGGTCCTTACATGGCAATGGTGGGACGGAATTTGGACCTTGCTGGCCACGGATTCCAACTGGCCATGGGATTGGAGGGCCATATTATGTGAAGCATGGTCCTCCCCCACCGACAACACTTTTGAGAACAACATGTTCAAGACAGGGAGAAGGGCAGTGGTGTGGGCCCTCTGGAGAAAACGCTGTATGCATACCATGGAGGGTGTCCGCATAGAGGGGGGAGAGGTTACAGATATGATAAAGCAATATATCCAGCAAGAACTCACGGTACAGTGGCAGAAAGTAAAAAATCAACTTGACTTGTTTCAATCACCACAGGACATAACACGTGCAATACACCAATTCTCCGGGGACTGGTTGGGCAGTGAGGAGGGGGGCTGGATCGCAGGTGTGAGATGGGACGGAAAGCCCACCCAGGCGTGCAACCTGGGGGAATTCAAGAGAGACTACCGGATCTGCTTTAAGGATTGGACTACAGTCGGCCAGGCTATTCCGCTGCGACCGGCATCGGACTTTCCCGACCCTTTCCCGCCTCACAATCTGGCTATGGTAGACATGCAATGGTATGGAGCGGATTGAATGGGCAACGTGGGAGAGGTATAGAGCAGGCTGGTAGCGGATAGCAGGGACAAGGTCGGGCAGATACAGGGCAGGCTAGGACAGCTGTCAGGGCGGCATGGGTAGTCTGGTGGAGGGGGCAGACCGAAGAGACGGCTCCATTTTGGCCGACAAGACTGCGCAGTCAATCCCCTGGCCCCCCTGTTTAGTATCAGTCCCTAGTATCAGTCCGTAACGGTCTATCTGACGCCCTTTATAAGGGTGAAGAGATACAGAAAGGGATTTGGCGGACCTGCATGCTCACACAAGGCCACTTTACTGAGTATTACACAGCATCTGCTCAGTCAATCCCCTGGGTCTCAGGGCAATCAATACTGGCAGACTCCATAGCCACCATTTTCATAGGGTCTGCTCAGTCAATCCCCTGTTGTGCAGGGTAATCAATGCTGGCAGACCTCACACTGTTTCTCACCTTCGTAAGATGTTTTCTTTCAAGGGACGCTGGACCCGTTTTCCAGCAGGTGATGCTCCCCACTAATAGATGGAGCCTCTCCCCAGGTGTTAGTGGTGTCTGCTCTTACCAGCAGCACTAACACTGGTGGGGGAGTGTTTAAAAAAAAAAAAAAAAAAAAAGT